GAGATGGGAGTTCTGCTCCAATGGTACCACATGCATTTGCGTAGTTTTGCATCGCATTATATGAATGAATAATGAAGTGTATTTGATGTTGATGAATGAGTATATATGTTGTAATTGTTGTTGATTATGAGGCGAGGAGTGGTGATATTATTGATCTAATTTAGTATATTAATTATCATGCGCTTTATTATATTGTTAGATATCTCACACCTTTTGTTTGAATGTTGCCCATATGCTGGTAACGTGCAGGTAATCGAGAGTGAAGGTTGTATACCTTCAATAGATCGAGTCGGTGTCATTGCTCTGATATGTAACACTCGGGGGGATGAACGCTTGTTGATTTTTTATTGTTGATTTTCAGTTTCTGAATTTTGAATTGATTATTATTAAATATGAGATATTTCGAAGTTGTTGCTTTTATTTAAAGATGTTATTGAAGAATTCTGCTGCGTAGTTGTTGAATATTTAATGAAAGATGTTATGTTGTTAGTTCATCCGATATTTTGAAAAAGTGTTATATATCCATGATGAATGCAATGAATTTGTTAGAAGAATTTGTGACGTCCCGATTCATTTGTATGATTGAAATTTTATAACTCTGATTTAATTGCATATTTATTTGGGGTAGAATTGTGGTGTTACATTAACTGCGGAAAAAAGTGGTATTGCTGTAGTGGCTCAAAGAGGTAATTACTTACATGCTCTAAACACTAGTAAGAAAAAAACAGAATCATGGATTGTTGACTCAGGGGCTTCAGATCACATGACTGGAGATTTTACTTTGTTTAATAGTTATTCTCCATGTACCTATAACTATAATGTTCGAATAGATGATGGTACACTCTCTAAGGTCATGGGTAAAGGATCAATTATCATTTCACCAAATATTACACTTCACTTTGTTTTGTACGTGCCCAAACTGGATTGTAACTTGCTGTCTATTAGCAAGATTACAAGAGATTTGAAATGTGTTACTAAATTCTTCTCTAACTTGTGTGAATTTCAAATTTTGGAGTCGGGGAAGACGATTGGCAATGCTGAAGAGTGTGCTGGACTGTACCTCCTTCAAGTGGAAAAATCAGAATAAAAACTCAAGAATAATTATCGTATTGCAGTTGCAGTTTCAAATGATAATAATCCTGTAATGATGTGGCACTATAGATTAGGCCACCCAAATTTCACATACTTGGAAAAGATGTATGCCTCTTTATTCAATAAAAACAAGGAACATTTTCAATGTGAAATTTGCCAATTGTCAAAACATACCTGAAACCATTACTCACCCCAATCCTATAAACCCTCCAAACCTTTTTCATTAATTCATAGTGATGTATGGGGACCATCACGAGTCCACAACATTACAGGCTCGAGATGGTTTGTCACCTTTATTGATGATCACGCACGTGTTACCTGAGTGTTTCTAATGAAGGAAAAATCAAAAGTAGGGAGAATATTTGAAATTTATCATAAGATGATACAAACACAATTCCAAAGCAATATTCAGATACTTAGAACTGACAATGGTCGTGAGTATTACAACCTTGCTCTAAATTCCTATCTTCAAAAGGTTGGAATTGTTCACCAAAGCTCATGTGTGGACACTCCCAAACAAAATGGAGTAGCAGAAAGAAAGAATAGACACCTTTTGAAAGTGACTAGATCAACCATGTTGGCCACAAATGTCCCACAACACTTTTAGGGAGAAGTTGTCCTTTCAGCAACTCACCTTATAAATCGAACACCCTCTCGTATCCTTAACTTTAAGACCCCACTCTCCACACTTCAAAACCTATTTCCAACCAGCAAATTTTTTTCCTCCATTCCATTAAAAATATTTGGATGCTCAACTTTTGTCCATAACCTCAACCCTCACCAAAGCAAATTAGATCCAAAATCCATCAAATGCCTTTTTTTAGATTACTCTCCGCACCAAAAGGGATATAGGTGTTACTCTCCCCATACCAAAATTTTTTACCACGCTATGGATGTAACCTTCTTTGAAAATCAGCCCTATTACACCAAAACTGATATTCAGGGGGAGCAATCATACATCGAAAATTCAGAATACCAACTTTTGCCTTTTGAACCTCTTGAACTTATCGAACATGACAAAATCTTACCAAACCAAACCGGTAACACTCAATCAGCCGAACCTATGCCTAAATCAGTTGAAAAATTACCAAACCAAACCTCTAACATTCAGCCGAGTGAAAGGACAGCAGAAGTTGTGACGGACACAGAACCAATTATAGTCTCAACCACATCTCATGATAATTGTGATCCAAAAACAGTCAAGTGGAAGGGTATTTGTTACAAAAAGAAGAGGAAGGAATTAGAGTCAAGTACAACTCCGGCGCAAGGCCATGAGTCAGACCAGACTCTAGAAAATGAAGTTCTCACATGTAATATTCTTCTTAACTCTGAACATGTTGATATAAATACAGCAGATATTGATATTCCTATAGCTATGGGAAAAGGGGTTAGAACTTGCACTAAACACCCTATTGAAAAATATATCTCCTATGGAAAACTATCAGAAAGTTACAGGTCCTTTGTAGCAGCTGTTGACAACAGAGAAATTCTAAATAATATTCAAGAAGCACTGCAGAAACCTGAATGGGCAGCAACTGTAACAGAAGAAGTTCAAGCACTTGTAAGAAATGGCACATGGGAGATCACTGCTATACCAAAAGGGAAGAAAGCAGTAGGATGCAAGTGGATATTTTCAATTAAGCACAATGCTGATGGGAGTATAAACAGATACAAAGCTCGGTTGGTTGCTAAAGGGTTCACACAATCATATGGGGTCGATTATGAGGAAACTTTTGCACCTGTTGCGAAGCTCAATTTTGTCTGGGTTCTACTATCTCTGGCAGCAAATCTAGATTGGCCCCTACACCAACTAGACATAAAGAATGTATTTCTAAATGGGGAGTTACAAGAAGAGGTATACATGTAAATTCTGTCGGGACTTGAATCACCTGGAACCTCCAACATGGTGTGTCGACTTCGAAAATCTCTATATGGCCTCAAACAATCACCGAGGGCATGATTTGACAGACTAACAAAAGTTGTCAAGCAAGACGGTTTTGTTCAACGTCAAACAGAGCATACTATGTTTGTCAAGCACTCTTTGGATGGGAAGATAGCTTTATTTATTGTCTATGTTGATGACATCGTAATTACGGGAGATGATGATAAACAAGTCAACCAGTTAAAGAAACTTCTAGTCAAAGACTTAGGACAACTCAAGTATTTTCTAGGGATGAAAATTGCACGAACAAAGAATGGTATTTCAGTTTCTCAAAGGAAGTACACTCTGGATTTGCTTCAAGAAACAAGTATGCTTGGATGCAAAGCTGTCAATACTCCCATAGAACAAGTAAAAAGGAGTGAAGATGAAAATATACCGGCTAATAAAGATAGATATCAAAGTCTAGTCGGAAAACTAATCTATCTAACTCACACCAGACCAGACATTGTTTTTGCTGTAAGCTTAGCTAGTCGTTATATGTCAAATCCAACTGAAACTGACATGAAAAATGTGAACAGAATTCTCCAGTATCTGAAAGGTACACCGGACCGAGAACTTTATTTTCAAAAGAACTCAAACAGAGGCATTGAAGTCTACACTGATTCTGACTGGACAGGATGTTTATCTGACAGGAAATCGACTACAGGCTACTGCACAGTTGTATGGGGTAATATGGTAACTTAGAGAAGCAAGAAACAATTTGTTGTTGCTAGGAGTAACGCAGAAGCAGAATTCATAGCTATGTCACAAGGTATTTGTGAAGGAATTTGGCTTAAACGAATGCTAGATGAGATCAAAATTCCTACCAATCACCCCATGAAGATATTATGTGATAACAAAGCTGTTATTAGCATTACGAAGAACCCGATACAGCATGATAGAACAAAACATGTAGAGATATACCGACACTTCATCAAAGAGAAAATTGATCATGAAATTATAAGTGTTAACCATATTCCATCATGCCAGCAAACTGCAGACATTCTAACAAAAGCCCTTTCGAGGAACATATACGAGAATATCAGATCCAATCTGGATATGATAGACATCTACCACCCAGATTGAGGGGGAGTGTGGAATAATCAATACATAATCAAAACGATTCTATTTGTACAGCCCATTAGGATTAGGATTATTATAATTAGTTAGCTATTATTTCCTGTTTTTTCTATAATTAGAATTAGCTTTTATGGGAAATTAATTCCCCTGATTCTTAGGACAGATTTCTCTTTCAAATACTGCCTTCTGTATTCTATAAATACAACGTATGTAATTCTCATTAGACAAGGAAATATAAAATATATTCATACACTTCGTAAACAAGCCCATGCGATATAAACCAAAAGCAAACCATAAAATAAACTTCGTATCAAAATTAAATCGTTGACGATAATATATATAAAAAAATAAAAATAAAAAATGTATCAATTACACTATAAAATACATCAAAAGATCCGGTACCGCATAAATTTACAGTTGATTTCGCCTTCGGCGCAATGTGTTATTGTGCTTATAACGGGTTTGTGAAATGTAATGGAACGAAGAGCTGTAGAATACCAAAACATATTGTTAAGAGGGACCTAAAATAATACACAGCAACAGCCAAATTAGCCATGTTAAATTGGTAAAAAAAATAATGGCTAAAGTAAGAACTACATCAACCTTAAAAATAAACAAGGGAGAATCACAATAACCAGTAAATTTCAATCAATAACAATTCCCCACCATCATTATATTTCGCAAACAGGTTAAAAACACAATAATACATCAACTCTCATAACTGCACCTCCACCCAATTCTGCTAAAAAAACATAGAAAAGTTGCCTGTTGGCACGTTAAGCTTTTGCTTTCATAATTTGGTTGACCCTAAAAAATAACCATACCTATATCCCTATTGTCACAATTCCTTTTACTAGATGAATTACTCCCAAAAAATTAAGGACCGTGTACTTTCGACAAGGCCAGATCATTCAGCCGCCTGAGTGCCCTTGTATGCGTTTATCAATTGGGTCTGTACATCATTAGAAACCGGTGAATGTTGCTTATATTCCATTGTGAATTCACCCTTTCCCTGGAGTTATTAGAAGGAAAAAAACAGCACGAAATGAAAAATCAGATATAAGTTGCCACCAAAACATGAAATATCTATGATTATTGGGTTTAGGGTTAGGGTTTATCCACCTGTGTCATCGAACGAAGAGCTGTAGAATACCCAAACATATTGTTAAGAGGGACCTGACATAATTAGCCATGTAAAATGGGTAAAAAAAAAAGGAAACTGTTAACATATGGTCTTAGAGCACATGTTAAGAAACTATTTGTAGCAATATTCTCTTGAAATGTGTGCATTTAACTTCTTAAAACTTTAAATATGACTTTATTACCCTTAAAATTTTCTAATTATAGTACCCTTAACATGTGCCTTTAGAGCACATGTTAGCATGACCCAAAAAAATAATAACAGGCTAAAGTAAGATCTACGTCAACCTTTAAAATAAACAAGCGAGAATCACAATAAACCAGTCACTTTCATTTTCCCAATAACAATTTTCCACCACTTTTGCAAACAGGTTATAAACACTAACACATCAACACACATAACTGCACCTCCACCAAATTCTGCCAATAAAACTTAGAATCAGTTGCCTGTTGGCATGTTAAGCTTTTGCAACCAAGCACATCCAGCAGCATCACGTCAAGGACCCAAATTCATTTCCTAATGCAGTGTTGTGTACAAAGGCGGGGGGAGGGGAGGGGAAGGGAGAGAATTCAAAACTAATTTAATTTTTGCACACCAATAATTTTATCTTACATCTTAGAATTCGGACTAACAGTATGTCAACCTTGAAAACTAGCTCTAGGGATGCCCTATGCTTTGCACCGGTAACATGAAACAATACAGGTGACCCGATAACTAATAAAGGATAGATGTTAATCATGTTATAGAATTTGGGCTATGCCTAACTCAACTATAAAAACTAGCTCTAGAAAGAGGATGGCCTAACTCAACTACATAAGCTAGTTCTAGAGATGAGGATTTCCTAAGTCTTAAAAAACTTTTTTTTCTATATCGCTAGCGGATGTGGGATGTCAACACCTCTCATACCCAACACAATGAAGGTGTTATAGGCTGCAGTTAATAGGCAGACAAGGTGGTCCCACAATGAAGGTTACTAAGGTTCCAAGATTACATTTTATTTAGACATATTTTAGTCATTGTGTCATCAAATTAAATCATAACTAATTGATTTCATACCGCCAAAATCAACCATGGGAAGTGGGAACTAACTTCGATAATAGTTAACTTTTAATCGACCTGTTAGGTAGGTACTTACATGAGCTGTAAGGACACAATCATCCCCATCCTGATCATTGCCAACAATCAGACCCTTTCTCCTGTCATTTGTAATAAAAGTATGTCAGAAAATTCTGAAATTTACCATAAATAAATAATATCCAGAAGGGGAAAAAAATAAATTATCACTTGTTGAGGTCACCAGCAACAGCTCCTTGAAATTCTGTTGGTAATTTCAGCTCAACAAGCATAACAGGTTCTAATATAACTGGTCTGGAAGCTGCGTAACACTGTTACAGAAGACAGCACCACAAATTGTTAGGGAATGAGGCCATCATATCATATCTATGTGAAGGAATCAATATCTACAATATGTGTAATGCAATTTATTAAAAATAAGTGGTGAATGAAATAACATGTCTAAAAGCGTAGATAGAAGCCATCTTAAAGGCAAGTTCGCTGGAATCAACAGCATGAGCAGCACCATCTGTCAAGACAACTCGGAGATTTTCAACTGGATGTCCAATTAAGGCACCACTGTGTCAAGAGCAATATTGGGTTAGGGTTGCCATACAAAAAAGTTCAATTATTCTTGCACACCAAAATTGTATACAACAAAGTTAAGAAACTAGAAAATTTTCACTCACGAGTTGGCAGCTTCTCTAAAACCTTTCTCAATTGCAGGGATAAAACTTGATGGAACAGCTTGGCCAACCAGCATGTTTTGAAATTCAAACTTAGTTCCCGACTCGGCAGGAAGTGGTTCGATATACCTGTGTTCATATTGAATACAATATATATCATCAAGAAATAGAAGGGGTATTGGATGATGAACACAACTAGCTTCTTTACCAACCGAACGGTAATATTTTACATAAGATAACATATACTCCCTTCGTAACAAATTATAAGCGAATTTGACTTTTTTTTATACATTTAACAATTAATGTATGCAGTCCATATATGACTTATTTGTAGTCAACGCCTTGAGTTTTTCAAATAAAACCTCTCAAACCATTATCTGTACTATTGAGCCTAGTGTGTGGAAACTATATCAAGAGGCATTCTAAAATAAGAAATTGATCTTATGAGATAATAAAAAATATCAAGATATTTTAAGATATCCCCCATCTTCTAAAATCTAACATTCTCATTTATCTCAAACTCCTGTCAAGTTTCCATCACTGTTTATCATTTTCTCAGAAAAACACTTTCTATCAGCAGGACTGGCCACTTCTATTGAATTTTGGTAAAATTTATTACCAGAATCAAACACTAAATCTTATTTGAATAAAATAAGAATGGCTAATCTATACTTACCCAATCACCCGTCCATATTGTCCTTGCCCTCCGGATTGCTTCTTATGTAAATAATCAAAATCAGCACGTTGAGTAACAGTTTCTCTGAAGTTCACACGGGGCTTTCCAACTGTAACATCAACCTTAGCAGGTAAAGATATAAGAATGAGTTAGACACTGAATCAGACAAAATACAACAGAAGGGATAAAGTCAATTGAGTTGTACAGTATAACAATAACTAACTGTAGTAGTTATTGTTATATTATTAATTGTCAGTTATGGTGTGTATATGTTTAGAAATAAATAGGGAAAGAGAACAGAAAGAAGGTTAAGGGGAAAATCATCAATTGGGTATTAGGAGGGAGAGACCAAGCTCTCTAATTCTTGGAACGGAGATGCCAAAACTCTCTAATTTCCTGGAAGAACATAAACTTGTAACTTTACTATCCTTGTCTCTCTAGACTTGCCTTTATGTTCTGGTGTGTGATTGCTATAATAAATCTATCTCTTCGGTTTTAAGACATTCTGCAGAGGAATGACCCTATAAATTCTGTTCATATCCTACTTTATTCAAATATATATACCAGTTCTAACGGAAAGAAATTTTAGGTGTAAACATTTGAAAGGCATCAACAGCATAGAAAAAAATATATATACATGTGAGTAAAATGGCTACCTTGTACTCCGTCTTAATGCGTTCAACATAGATTTCTAAGTGCAGTTCTCCCATTCCAGAAATGATTGTCTAAACTCAAGTATGTTAATCTCAATAAAAGAACAATAATTATGTCGATTAAATAAGATCTTCAAGAAAAAAAGGACAACCTGCCCACTCTCTGGGTCCAAACCAACACGGAAAGTAGGATCCTCTCTTTGGAAGCGGTTCAAAACTTTTGAAAACTATAAGCAATACATGGATAAAATCAACTGAGTTGAGCAATATACAACTTTTCAAGCTGGGACTGCAGGGTTGCCATGTTACAAAAAAGAGATTACTCACTTGCCCTCCAGAATCTTTTGAGACAGGCTGTACAGCTAAAGACATCACGGGCTCAGGAACATTCATAGAAGTCATTGTGTATTTAACCGACCCATCAGTAAAAGTATCTCCTGATGACCAAAAATATATATTATGGCCAGTATAAAATTAGAATAACAAAAATATGAGCAGAGGCGGAAATAAATATGAAACAAAGAGATTGTCCAACCCAACAACAAAAACTTTATCAAAATCTCTCTCTATCCCTAATTATAAGACCCGTTTTCAAATTTTTTTGCTTGTCCCTTGATATAATACCCTTAATAAACTTGCTCGTGCCTTAATAGTTTTAATACAAAAATACCCCCATTTAGTTTGCAATTGGGAAAAGTAAGTTTGTTTTTCTCTCACGATATCATTAATTGTAGATGCAATTATGGAAAGAAGAGAAAACCAACGTTTACAAATTTATTGTATAACTATTTTTCTTAATATCAATAAATTTTCTTAGTGGGTCATAATAAGGGACAAAGGAAGAGTGGCCCAGAAAGAAAGAACTACACAGAACTTATATTAATACTAATCCTTAGGCATGTAATTATCATGTTAATCATCCTAAATTTCAACCTTTTTTTTTACTAAAAGGATATTCATTTTTTCAAATTAAAAAATACATAGATCATTACAAATTCAAGATTGTTAAAAACTGAAAAGGTGAATCTACAAACAATCTTGCAGCACCTAGGTTAATAGCATACAACGACAACATGAAAGTGCCTACAAATATGACGATAAAAGTAACCGGAATATTCATACTTCCGGAGCTGCAACATTAACGCTCAAGTCTTCATCAGATTTGTAATGAGTTGAAGTGAATATGTCAATCTAAACCAACAAACACCGTACTAAGACAGTAAAACCAGCAAACACCGCACAAGACGACAAAAGCTTTAAAACACACACACACAAAAAAAAAAAAAAGCAAATCTATGTGGATAACCACATATTTAAATAAAAAGAGGGGGAAAAAAACGGTGTTGAGGGGTGATTTCAAGCCAAAAATGGCCAAAAATCACCCCCTTAGGATGGAAGAATGAAAAGAGAGAAAATTTCAAACCTTAGAGCCAGACAACTTTGAAATATTTATTTATATTATCTAATTTAACTGTCCTTCATAATGACCTTTGGGTTCAATGGTTTTCTTTCTCAGCCCCTTGGTTTAAATTTATTCTCCAAGAATGTACAAAAGATTCTAGGCAAATGCTAATCAGCAAAAAAATATGAGAAAGAAAAAGAAATCGAGTTCTAGAAATGCACATTCCCAAGCAAAGTGAAAAGAAGAACCTGATGCACAATCAACACCAAATACAGCAATTATTTCGCCAGCGTGGGCCTCCTGAATGTCCTGTAGAAGAAAAATGTTCAATTAGAAGTTTAACATAAATGGCAGAGAATAAATTCATATTAAAAATCTTCAAACTGAATTTAGAAGAGACAAAACTGTACAAGTTTTCCCTTTCTTCAGTGGAAATAATATCCTATGACCTACAAATAATTCTAACTTCTTATTTAAAAAAATGCAGTTTCCAGAGGCATTCATTATACAGGAAGATCATCATTAAAAAGCCTAAAAGCAAACCTGTATTTCATTAGAATGCATCCTACCCAAGCGAGAAATCTGCATTGACAAAACAAAAGCTTCAACCACAAATTATTAGTCTCCGTTGTAAATAATGTATATTTGTAATTATTAGTTGTAAATAATGTATATTTGTAATTTATCAGTAATAATTGCATTCGCTCATTAATCAGACCCATTAGATTTAGAATAGTCAATTTAAACAAAATAATGCATGTACTTTATTCACAACTTCGAAATATACATCAAAATATTCTCTACATAGTATCAGAGCTCCCCATTTTGTGGTCTTGCTTCCGCATAAACTCTAGCCGGCGTCATTACGGTTTATTTCTCCTCCTTCAAAGAAATTTCTTGCATACTTTACTGCTTTTGCAATTTTTGTGCAACCTTCAGTGTAGCCACATTATGTTTTAATACTCTCTTTGCTCCTTTCTGCCTTGCCTTGCTACGTTTCTGTTTATACTTCCGCATAAAGTTTCTTTGGGTCTTTTTGGTGCGTTCAATGCTTTCAGCAGTCAAATCACCACTGCCCTTCGACCTTCTCAGAATACTGACTTAACATCAAGTTTGCAGTCCCATATCAAGCCTAAACCCAGAAATTTTCCATCATAAGCTACCTCGCGCAGCTAGACAGCTTGACCATGCCTGTCACATGTAAGCCATGCATCACTTTCCATTGGTTTTCGGCCATCACACACTTCAGAAAAGTTGTAGATTAAAGCCTTTTGAGTTCATTTTGGTGGTTAAAATCCAGATTGGAGATATTTTTAGATGCCCCAAGACATATGGCATCGATACAAGGTCAGACAAGTGACAAAAATATACACCGTGACATGTGGCATTGACTATAAGGAGGACATTTGCTCCAGACGCAAAGATAAATATTGTTCGAATCTTATTATCTCCTGATGTTAATTCTGGATGGGAACTACACCATTTTGATGTAAAAAAATGCATTCTTTCATGGAGATTTAGAGGAAGAGAAGTACATGGAGATTCTCATAGGTTTTGGTTTTAGAGGTGGAGCAAACATGGCGTGTCGATTGAGGAATGCCCTATATGGACTAAAGCAGCCCCTTGAAGTGGTTTGAAATATTCACAGATGTAATGGTGAGCTTGGGCTATATGCAAAGCCAAAGAGAACACACATTTTTCTTCAAACATTCACAAGTTGGAAAACTGCCTGTAATTCTAAATGATGTTGATGACATTATTGTTACAGGATTTCTTATTAAACTCGGATAATGGCGCAGCGCGGCAGTCTAAAAAATTGGAACGGAACGGAAACGCGGAACAGAACGGCCGTTTTTTCGGTGACGCGGACACTAATATATTTAATATTAATAAATATATAATGATTAAAAACAATTAAATTAATCAAAGTTCATGAAGCATTGTACTATATACTACTATTATTTATTATTTTTACAAGGAATAATTATTTTCATTACTATTTTGTTATTATTTGTTTTTTTCTAAAAATATTATATTATTATATTTTTAATAGTCATTCATAAGTAATAAACAGCTATCACATAGGGTTTGGTAAAGTGCTTTATGAGTACTCCTCCCTTCGTCTCAAAATAAAAGTCGTTTAAGATTATTATGTACAGATTAAAAAAAGTAATGATTGAGTCAATAAAGGTGATAATTTTACAAAATTACCCTTAATTTTTATTGGGTGATATATATTGTCATAACTTGAAAAGAGTGTAGGTAAGGGGTAATGTTGGTAAAAGTTGATCAATGTTGTATTGGAAAAACAAAGAGATTATTATTTTGAGACAGATGGAGTATCTGAGTAGCAGCACTTTAACTTTCCAATTTTCTTTTATTATTCTATCCTGTCGGTGCTTCCACGACTTCTTCTTCTCTTTTCTTCTAATTCTATGGACTTCATCTTCTTCTATTTCTATCCTGTCGGTGCTTTTCTTCTTGTTATGCAAACTCCGCCACAAATATAGCTCTCCAATGGTTAAAAATCTGGACACAGGAAAAAACGGCCTGGTTTCTATCCTGTTGGTGCTTTTCTTCTTGTTATGCAAACTCCGCCACAAATATAGCTCTCCAATGGTTAAAAATCTGGACACAGGAAAAAACGGTCGTTCCAGACCGTTCCACCGCCGTTCCGCTCTGTTTCCATACCCGATATTTCGGCCGCACAGGCCGTGTTGCCCGTTCGCGGCGTTCCGACCCATTCTGACGCGCTATCCTTCACTGTGCCGTTCCAAGCCGGCCATTCAGGCTGAGTTTAACAACAGAGGTTACAGGAGATGATTTGATTGAGACACAGCTGCTCAAGGAGAATTTACCAATAGAGTTGAGATGTCAGACTCTGCCTGAGCAAGTCAAGTATTTCTTGGAAATTGAGGTGGCTTATTCAAAGCAAAGAATTTTCATATCTCAAGAAAGTGGGTGCTAGCTTGATCTTTTGCAGGAAACAAACAAACTTGGATGCAACTTGCGAATGTCAAAGTTGACAAGGTAAATTATAAGAGATTAGTGGGTAAGTTATTTCTTTGGCACACACTAGAACAATATTCCTTATGTAGTTAGTAACGGGAGTAAATTCATGCATGATCCTAGAGTGCGAGATTGCAAGTTTTCGACCATGTTCTACATCTTATAAGTACTCCAGAGAGAGGACTTTTGTTTAAAAGAGGAGGAAGTCAAACCATAGTGGTGTATGCTAATGTTGACTATGCAGGTTCAGTGAATGATAATAGGTCCACTTCTGGCTACAGTGTTTTTCCATGTAGGAACCTTGTTGCTTGGAGGAGTAAGAGGAAAAGTGTAGTTGCTCCACCATGCGGTTTACTTAACGCTATTGTGTTTTTCTATTTAGGAACTCCCAAAATATGTGGGTTGGACCTAACTCAATCCTACAAAACCGGCTTGTAAGGTGAAGATTGCCCTCACTTATAAACACAACAGGCCATATCTCTAAGCAATGTGGAACTAAATTCACCCCTTCAAAGCCAACACAATGAAGGTGTTAGGGACTACAATGAAGGCAAGTCAAAGTGCCGCAATTAAGGCGACTAGAGACAGGCCGCAATTAAGACGGAAAGTCCAACACACTTGGGCCTCAATGAGTCCAAAGCGTGGACGATGCGGGAAACCCTACAATGGATCTAGGAATTAAGATAGACGGTGATACCAACTCAGAATTTAGGTTAAGTCGAACTCATCCTTACAAAATCGGCTTGTAAGGTGAAGATTGTCCCCACTTATAAACACAACACAAGCCATATCTCTAAGCAATTTGGAACTAAATCCACCCCTTCAAAGCCAACACAATGAAGGTCTTAGGAGCTGCAATGAAGACAAGCCAAAATGCCGCAATTAAGACGACTAAGGACAGACCGCAATTAAGGCGGAAAGTTCAACAGGAATCATATTGCTTTTAGAGAAGTAAGACATAAAGTATAGTAGCTCGGCTAAAGGCTGAAGCAAGATTTAGGGTTATGGCACAAAAAAAATGGGAGCTAATGCAGATGAAAATTGTGCTAGAAGATATGAAGATAAAATGTGAAGGTCATATGAAATTGTTGCGACAATAAATAGGCCACCACTATTGCTCATAATCCTATTCAGTATGATAAGACAAAACATATTGAGATAGATCGACATTTTATGAAAGAGAAGCAAGATAGTGTATGGATAACTACAACCTACATTCCGTTACGGCATCACAGGTGTGTTAACATATGGATTAGTAACATAATATTTCAACCAACTTATATATATATGTAATGTTTCATTTGCATTTTTCTGTCTCCAAATAATAGTCTATTTACACTACCAATACAACATTTATTATTTGTCTACTACTATATCCCTATTTATTACTTTTCACTTTATTAAACTACTCTATTAACTACAATTAATAAGGGTATTCTAGTAAATAATATTAATTTTGTCATTAAAACCAACATATCTAATCATTTTCTTAAGAACCGCGCATTGCTCAAATAAAACACATTCTATGAGTCGGAGCATGGTCAGATGTCTGCATGTAGGATGATATGTTTCTAAAAAAATTGTCCATACTGTTAGTATGACAGTAGCTTGTAAGAGCCTGTTAGAACAAAACAGAAGGGTAATTATTTAGAAGAAAAAAGGAAAACAAATTAAATAGCTCGACATATCCCCAATATTATCGGTATGTTTAAAGGGCCCTTAAAAAGTTACTGAATTTATTTTCCTGTGTTAGACCATCCTCTGCCACTTGGTAGGTTGAACCAAAGAATTGTGTGACCCTTCATACTCATACTAGCCAGCTTTATATTCACCAATGCAGATGTGTATCCACTGTTATCGTCCCACGCATTGGATCAGAACCATCAAATATGGGCAATTCAACCATGTTCACTAGCATCCAAAATCCTAAACATCCTAATTTTAAGCAAGGACTGCTTCATTTACATAAACCATTTGCATTAGAATGTGTTCTATCAGAAACAAATGAAGAAAAGTATCCCGCTTTTCCCTTCAGATTTCATTCGGCAACAGAATATTCATTTTCTTTATATTTCGTACTATTATTCAATTCTTATATGTGAATTCGCAACCAAACTTGAATCCATTCACCTAGACTTGGAGATTGGAATCCATGATGAACTAGTAGAATTTTCATGAATATGAGACTAAATTATTTAAGAAGAAAAAACTGCGGAGTTGGACCAAACATTATATAAGGTTTTTCACCAAAACTCATACATAAATCAGTTATTTAGTTATCTCTCTACCCTGGAAAGGAAAAACATACATATGAACAAAGACAAATGCAATCAAACTAGAGCACCGGAAGACATTAAAGATTAAACTTACCTTGGTCTTCTTGCCAGAGTTAACATTAGTCACAAAATCCCCCTTCCGAAGGATGCCCTCATAAATTCTTCAACCAAATAATCAATATATTAACATATGTAAAATGTACTGAAAGGTTGCCACAAATTTGAAATATATATACCATAAATGGAATTAACCATCTCCAATGCCAAGAGGTACCTTAGATATGATAACTGCGCAAAATTATTTTCCTCCAATTTGAAAGCCAATGCTACAAGGGGACCATCAGGACTTCCAGTCAGCTCAATCTAGACAAGTAAAGACATACAATAACCAGTAACTTCTTTTTATTTGCATAAAAAGATAACAGTAAGGCAACAACAGTATCTGAAACACTTAAATATCGCAATTTATTATGATTGTAATCTCTCTGGATCATGAGTTTGCAGCAAACAACCAAGACAATTTCCATAACCATATATGATTTCATTGTAAAAATTGTCTCCAAGAAAATATAATCAGCTTGCATCAAACACAGATGGGTTCTGAAACGTGAATGCAAGAATTACTTTATACTTGGTATTTTCCGATATTGAAAAGCAATAGCATGAGCAGCTGAGAAACTCACCCAAGCTTATATAACAACATGCACCTTGATACCTTAACTTGGAATGCCAAATATTCTCCAATCATAAACCTTAATTTTCTATTTGAAAAATAATTTAAATTAGGAAGATGGGACCTTCCTTTCAGATTTAACATTTCTTTTAATATGAAGTGATTAACTATTATCAAGGTTTTAATCTTGATTTTATTAAATGTTAATTTGAACTTTGGGATTTCATTTCTTTTCTGGCAAGTGACTTACAATATCACCTAGATGCATTATAATGTTTACTACGGATATTTTACACTTTCTGAATGATTCATTATTATTTTATTTATGAAGAACATGCATTCAAAGCAATTTTTATACTTTTAATTTTAATAAAGAATCATATAATTGTTATTCAAAATTTGCCTTTAAAATTCAACTCAAAGTTTTCAATAATCATGACAGAAAAACAATATCAAAGTAAAAAAGGGATTAACTTTCTATGAATCAGGTACCTTCTCCTCGTTCTTAGATTGGTCAAGAGCATTATTACTAACTTCAGTTGGACATGGCAAATAACTAAGTACTCCGTCCAGAAGTGACTGTACTCCCTGTATCAATATTGGAAGATTAATTATATACAAGTGATGATTCAAACAACTAAACAGTATGCATGATATCTAGAATGTGCAAGTTTGGATCATACTGAAAAATATGTTTGGGCCTGCCAATATGAGAATGCATAAATGTGAAAAAATATTTTGAGGAGGGGACTGCTTATTAAAGGGGTTATATTAGAGAAACGGTACTGTATATTTATGGATAGCAATATCCAAAATGGGTAATAACTTCCATACATTAAGTAATATATAAGGAATGGATATGAATATTGTAGAAGATTATTATTGAAGGTCTGCTGTTATGTAACAACAGGGCAGTTATATCCATGCACCAAGCCCAATAGTGTTGGACATGAGAGGGTGTTTCAAGAGTCAAACATCGGATAATATATGGTTTGAACAATATGTTTATAAGTTGGGTCAATCCTCACCTTATATGCTGGTTTCGTAGAATTGTGTTAGGCTCAACCACAATTCTAAGACATACCACCATACCATTAACTCAAAAATCGATGGAATAATATTACTATGCATATATCTTTACCGAATGGGAGGAACAAAGAAGTTTATTATGCAGTATGAATTTATATGTGAAGTTGAGAACAGAAGGTGAATTCAATGATTACCTTGTTTTTGACAGCACTTCCCATGAATACCGGTATAAATTTTTGTGCTAGGGTAGCCCTACGAATTGCTCCCTAAACAAACATAATAATCAGAAATTATAAACTACATTAAAACATGTGGATAGAGAGATAATGCCGGTGGAGACCTAATAGAGTTTATGTTAGATTTAAGCACAAGTATAATCAGAATTACTAGTTGTTACTGAACTATAGATGATTAGCTCCATTAAAAGCTCAACATATGAGATGATTCCCCTTCTAGTTAATAATTTAATGTAAACATTTAGTTATCGTAATATGGAGCTATTAGATATAGGTTTACCTCAAACCCTTTCCTAATTATATATATGGCGTCAGTGATTTAATAATCCATCACACCATTGTGCTTCACCGGTGACTTTGGTGCTCTATCCCCGGCCAGGGGCATGCAAACGGCTGCACTGCCACTGGCTGAAACTTTCAGACTACACCAACCGACTCTGATGACCACCCAAATCAACAACAGAAGTCACCAACTAGCTCAACCTCAACCAACATGAGCCCTATCTGCACCAAAACAACATGTCTACCTCTAGCTCCCTGTCAACGTCAGTTTGATCATTATCTCCTTAACCACATATGAACATTTGGTCAGTGCAGCCAATTACTTCTTTTGCGCTGCTGGTGTAGACTCATGATTTGAAACGTAGGGAGGACCATAATGATCACTCAATATCAAACAAACAAACCAAGGATATTCCTACAAGGAATCAAGATAGGCAGAAACCAACTGATGCTAAACTTTAGTTACAGGCCCTTTTATCAAAATAACACAAAAAACATCTACTGATGTGTGGTTCTTACAATTTTCAGACAAAACCATGCATATGATATAAGCAGTTTCCTTGGCAAATTTGTGAATCAAAGGAAAATAGGAACTATGCCAAACAACTTTCTGTTAAAATAGTGAGACCGTTACAATCTGACATGTCTATATCATTTCTTTATGCATATCTAGAATGCCCAAACCACATGGTCCGCAACACATTCAGAGAACAGACCAAGAAACTAATAGTTAGAATTAGGAAAGTATGATAGGATGCATTTCCCATAAATCAAATAATAGTCATACAAAACTCAGGAATATGAAAACTGCTACCTACTCACCTCAAGATCAGCATCTGAAATGGCTTTATCACTAAGAAACGCTTCAGCAAGTATATCATCAACGTCTGACACGGTTTCTACTAGTTCGCGTCTTTTTTCAGCCACCAACGCTTCCATATCCGAAGGCACCTCTTCAATGACAACTTTTTCGCTGCAATAAGCAATGTTTGAGTATGGCAGACGCAAATCGGAAAAAATAATGGAGAATTTCGAAAACAGACCCTTTTGAACCATGAAAATAATAGGCCTTTAGCTTCACAAGATCAACAAGTCCCTTAAAACCATTTTCCAAACCTATGGGAACTTGAACTGCAGCATTATGATGCCGAAGCTTAGATCTAGCCTGAAAAATAAAACAAATTGGTATTAAAAAATGGAAAACATTCAATTCGAAAATAAGAATGAAAAAGAACTTTTAAAAACAACAAAGATAATCATTAATTAATAAATAAATAAATAGTAGAAGTTGTCGAGTAATAAAACAAATTTTATAGCTGACCTCCATAAATGCCACTGGGCAGCTCTTCTCAAGATAACCAAATTTGTGTAAATGGGATTATAACTTATAACTGTAAAACATATTATCTTAGCTAACCTCTATAAATCTCATTCACACCTGATTTATTACTTTCCATGGATCTGCTCCCATTCGATCAAGCTTGTTAATAAATGCAAGTCTTGGAACCTCATACCTTCTCATTTGCCGATCAACGGTAATGGACTGACTTTGCACCCCACCAACACTACAAAACACAAGAATGGCACCATCAAGGACACGCAAAGCCCTTTCAACTTCAATGGTGAAATCAACATGACCAGGTGTGTCAATTATGTTGATCTGCAACAAAACATTTTGCAGAAGTTTCAACGTAAATAACCACAAGAGAAAGCCACTATCAAAAGCAGTTTGAAGAATATATCAATGTAAGTTGCAACTTCCAGTGGATACTGCAAACAGGAAAAATAAGTAGTCTTTATTTAATTTACCCGTTTCAGTTATCCATAACTAAAAAAACAGAAAATATCTTCAATTGTTATCCTTCCTCTATAATAATGAGGAATAATCCCCAAAAATTCATGCTGGTACGGCCCCACCGCAATTTATACAAAAACGATATTCCACATATAACTTTATTGAACCCTAGTCCTTCAAAAATAAAAAACTCACTACACTTCCAAATTCAAATTCAACTTGAACTCAATTAAAACCTCATAGTTCTTATTTCTCCAAGTTTAAAATTTTTATATATTCTTGCAAGGAATGAAAAGAGAAATTCCCTTGGAAATTCACACTCTATTTTACTTCAATTGGATTCAATTAGAATTTAGCAATACAAACTGAAAATAGATAGTTACAAATCAAGTTTGAAGTAGAACCTTATAGTCCTTCCAAGTACAATTTGTAGCAGCAGACTGAATAGTGATTCCCTTCCGTTTCTCCAACGCCATGGAATCCATCTTGGCACCAACGCCATCCTTCCCTCTCACCTCATGGATCTCGTGAATCCGGCCAGTGTAGAACAGTATCCGCTCCGTCAAAGTCGTCTTCCCGGAATCGATGTGTGCCGAGATACCAATGTTGCGAATCATTTCCATTGACTCCATCCACCAAGGCTCCTTGTTAATTGATGCTGCCTTGGCACGGGCGACGTTTCCGGCTGAGAAGTGTCGGAGGTGGAAAGTGGCGGCGATGAGGGAGCCGGTTGGGGATGGAGAGACTGTGGTGGTGGAGGAGCATAGTGCGTGGAGAAGACGGTGCGCGGAGGACCTGGAGAAGCGAACCATGGTGGTAGGGTTCACCTTTGGGGTTTTCGGCTTTTCGAGGTGTTTGATAAAATGCAACAATTTTTCATTGCAATTTTATAGGGGTGTTCGCGGTGCGGTTTGGGCGGTTTTGAAGTAAAAAATCATCCGAACCACCAGAGAAAAAAACATGCGGTTTGGTTTGGTTCGATTGGCTTTTAAAAATAAATCCGAAGCAAACCAAACCAAACTAATGCGGTTTGGATTGGTTCGGTTGTTTCAGTTTTTTACAAAAATAATTATTATGTCATACATACAAATATATAGTAAAATATAATTTTATATTTAATTGTTCATACATTACCATAAAAAATTTATAATTGTCAAAATAAATTTATAATTTGATACATAAAATTGCGTATTATAATTTTATCTAAATCTAAATAATGATATCAATAAGATTGCATTCTTAAATAAATATTATACAAAGAATATGATAAAATATATTTTGTGAAAATAGTATTTATAAATGAATAATATTTTATTTTTTATGATTTGTAAATTAAAATGAATATAATACAAAGTATGATAAAATATACACATAATACATGTTGATTTCTCTAAAGAATTATAGAAATATATATTGGTTAGTAAGATTTTATAACATAATGCGGTTTTGTTTGGTTTGGTTTGGTTTGTAAAATACAAACCGCAAACCGAACCGAATCATGCGGTTCCACAAGAAAATGACCCAAACACATCCGAATCAAATGCGATTTTTTGCAGTTTCGGTTTGGTTTGGTTCGGTTTTGCGGTTTTCTATTGGGCCGGTTTGGTTTTGAACACCCCTACAACTTTATACATACTTATACAAAAGGGGAGCCAAATTTTTAAAATGTCTCATATTTTCAGAAATATATATTCACACCTATCAAATTATATTTTTTTTAAATAAAATATATAATCAAAATCATTTTAAGCATTGTTTTAAAAATCAGACAGGTCATCAAATTGGTAAATATACTGAGTCACTAGTTCATCGGTCAAACCACTTAATTACTACTCAAACCGCATGACCCAAACTAGATTAAATCAGATAATTCGATTTAATAACTCGGATTATTATATAGTATAATATCGGTCTAACCGAATCATTCAATCTCTAAAAAAATATAAATAACACTTAAATTTTTAAAAAATATCATAACATAAATTCAATAGTTCATAAGTTAAATTCAAATTTAAACATAAGTATCACACACAATAAAATAGTACAAATTATAAAGTCTAATAGCAAATAAAATCTAATTGTAACATAATTTAATTGAGTACTTTAGAACAAAAATACTCCAATATATATTAAGTGTAGTTCTACGAAAGTAAAATTATCTCAATATTGGGATCTTCTTCAATATCAAAATCATCTTCAGCAAAATCAATCGCATTCGCAACATCTTTCTCATCAACGATACCATTACTTTGGTTGTTTTCTCCATAATTAAGTTGTGCATCCCCCTCAACGTCAACCTCATCCAAATTTAATTCATTTATAACAACATCAATTTAAAGAGTTTAGCAATTGACATATAATAAATTAAAATAACATAATTGTAATCACAATAACTAATATCATACCAATATCATTTGAAATAGGTTGGATTGTCATACTAGCAAGATTTTTGTACAATGTGTCCAAGCTATATCAGTCTTTCCTCTAATATTATTTTGAACTAAACTTTGAACTGAAGAGGCTTCTTATGACAGTGGTTGTGATGAAGGTGTTTCAGAAGATGTCATTTTCCTGTAAAACAACGACAACGAATTTCAAAAACAAAAATAAAATAACATTAATGACCTATATGAAGTAAACAAATCTCAAAATATTTAATAGAACAATATTATATTGCAATAGTAATGTATAATAGAACAATATTATATGACATATTTACATGTTAACTTGTTGAAACATTATATGACAAATCTCAAAGATTATATTGCAATAGTAATATTATATTGTCCATTTAGTCTGATTTTTTTTCTTTCAAATATGCATGCAAGGTTAACTTGTTGAAATACATACTGGTATCAGGCTAGACGGGGTATTTTGGTTGCTTCAAGTCCAGAAATTCTTACACGGATGAAGAAGGTAACCTTTGCAATAATTAATAAAGAATTGTCTTTATAGTTTACTCTTCCTAACAATATCAATAATTTTCAAATTTATACTTGGCCTTAAACTCATATTTATACTTAGCAATATCAATAGTTTTCTCTATTACATCGCTAAACCTGAATCGTGAACCAAGGATCTATTCCTTCAAATTTTAAACATTTTTCATGAATCACCATTATCCAAATATCATCACCATGTTATTAACCATACAAACATGTGCAAAATCAAACACAAACCAACACCTCCACTAAACCACCAACAACTTTAACCCAAAATCTCACACAACCATACTTGATCCTTTCTTCACAATCTCACACAACAACTTTAACCCAAAATCTCAATATACACATTATAACAACACATATTCATGTTCATATCATCAACTAGCGAACCAAACTGGCTACTGATCTGGTTCCTTGTCCAACTGGTCCAATCGACCGTCTGGTCCGGTTTTTACAACACTGATTTTAAGGATGTGTTTGAGATACATCTCTGAATACACTTTTTTTTTAATTTAAAAAAAAATTGGAGATTCATCTCCGAAGAGGGTGAGCTTATTTAAAGCTCACGTCAGACTCTCCCTCTTATCCTTGTTCATTTTTCAGAATACACAACTTTCTCTCTACCTCATTCTACTCATTCAAGTTCCCACTAAAGGTCAAGATTTGAAGTAACATGTATATGTTTCTTACCATTTTCAACTCTTTCTAACAACTGCATTCAACATCAGAGCACTTTACACCCTCATTAATACATTTTTGAATAAATTTCTCATTTAGCTTATTTTGATTTTTAATTGATGTATTAGCTCAAACAGGTTAGTTTTAATGCATTAGATAGCTTAAATATGTTAGTTTTTAAGTTTAGAGACTTTGTTTATATGATTTGGATGAGTTTGGATTGTGAATGTATTTGCCTCTTAAATAGATGTTTTGCATGATGTCAAAACTAGGATTGATTTAGCTTTTCTGTATATTGAACGGTATCTCTGAGTCATTGTGTGCACTCTTGCATTATGGATCTTAGAATGCATCTAGAACATGTTTGAAAAGGCTATCGAAAGATATCATGCATCAAAAATGATTTTCTGCATAAAATTTAGTTGGATGTGCCGACACATCCATACTATGGGTCGACATATGTAGTTCAATAATAAAGCTCGTAGGCTATGTAACTATGTGTCCACACAGAGACCTCATATAGGTCGACACATGTCATTAAAATATATTTTTGCATAAAAATCATTTATATCTGTCGACACATCCATTGTTTGCATCGAAACATGTGTTGTTGTTTTAAAGCATGAAAGTCACTAGAATATTGTGTTGACATAAAGACCTCTTAGAGACCGATACATGTTATTACATGTGTCGACACATAACTTACATGTGTTAACACATGTGTTGAAATTTTGCAAAAATCTTTTTCCTTTTCAAACTTTTAGGTTTCCCTTTTACCTCTAACTTGCACACACACACACACACACACACACACTTTTGTACCCCAAAATTTGCCCTCTCATTTTATTCAAAACATACTCTTAGAGGTCCTCAAATGCTCAAGGTTTACCAAGAATTAACCAGACAAATTCTCCTCCCAAGCAATGGATTTCTAACTAGGGTTTCACTTTTCACAAATAAGTTTGGGTTTCAAAGGCCTCAAGTAATTTTCATGGTTCCTAATATGTCCTCAAGAATGTCCATGCCAAGTTTCATGCCTTGCATCACAAGTTTGCTCAATCAATTGCTCAGATGACTGAAAATCAACTGTATTAGGTCAAAAGTCAATTATGGTCAATATATAGTCAAACTTCAAGATTTTTGGTCAACATCAACATTTTGAAGTGATATTCATCATTTGGTCAAGGTTTGATCATGATTCCTCAAGGAAATTCCTCAAATCATCAAAAGTCAAGATTTGCTAAATTAGGGTTTCCTAGGAAAAGTCAATTGAACTTTGACCAGACATAACTTTCACATGCTTCATCCATTTTGCCCCAACAAAAGCTCATTATGAAGAGAATCCAATACTCTATAACTTTGTTTTCATTCTCAAGTTCATAAAATTCATTATTTGGAAGATATGAGCTCATACATTACAGGTCATTTCAAAAAGTCAACAAAAGACACTTTTTGTCAAGACAACTTACATCAAGATAATGTCTTCAAAAGCAAAAATGGTCAACATAGAGATTGTATAGGACATCTTGGGCTTTTCAAAAAGTCCAAGATCATCTTCAAAGATAAAAATTTAGCAATATATGAGTTGCACAAGTTGGGAAATTTTGAGGAAATTCAAAAAGTACACCTTGAGCAAAATTGTATTTTTAGACTAATGGGCCTAATTTTTGAACTTCAAGCATGTCCATAATGTCTTAAAGGACCTCTAAATCCATTTTTGCATGACCTTGATTTTATTTGTATTTATTTTGAGTTTTATTTAATTTGAAATTAAATAAATGAAAATAAAATGCAAGAATTAGTGGGCTATGCCATTTGGGCTTAGTTTGATCCATTGAGAAGCCCAAATTTCGTGCAAGGTGCGTGGAGGGTGACCAGGAACATACGAGGAACTAAAATGGCAAGAATCACACATTTTGGGAACTTTTCAAATTTGTGATTTTTGCTTTCAAGAGTATGATCAATGCATGAATTCTTGACATGTTTATCCATCCTTACATCCATATATAAATATAGAGCAAGAGTGCAAGCAAAATACACGCAAAAATTGCTTGAAGAGAAGCTCTACAAACTTCCAAAAAAATTGTCAAAATTGTGAAATTCGAAACCTGCATTCCAGCCTTCCTCCGTCCAATTTAGTGCCATCTTTGCACTCCTGAGGTCTCCAGGAGTCACCTTCATCCCTCACT